AGGTGCAGTAGGGGTGGGGCATAATACGCCCAATCTTTTTATTTTTCTTAGTTCTGTTCTATGTGCTATTTCTGGAATTTCTGCGTGGTTTCTCGGTTTGCACACTTCCATGTTAATCTTTCCTAATTTCCATTCATCGTGACTTCTCCCTGTGCCCACTATTTCAAGCCCTCATTCATAATTTACTGGTTTTCTCAGAACTCACACAACAGGCTAGTCATTGAGCCCCATCCCTTGAAATGACTAAGGGTTTAAAGTGTTAAATGTTCACACCATAGTGAAATACAGCAACAGCTCCTAACTGAAGTAGAAGCATGCCAGATGCAATTCAACTCCTAATTACAACTCCAGGATACTAAGGATAGAGAACACTTGGAAAGAAAACCCTGGCAGTTACAGTGTATTCTAGTTGCTGTCCTGAGGGCTGCACAGCATGAAAGCAGCATGAAAGTTTCTGCAGGCTCGGCAGAAACTTTAATGAAGTTGCCAAAACCCACTTCTGGCTGCCTATGCTTTCTGTTTGCAATAACATAACCAGAGTTGACACCCTCCCTGTGCTAGGTCTAGTCACCTCCCCAACACGCCTTGACACAAGAGATCTACTCCTGCCTCAGAGTGGAGGTCAGCTATTCCTGCCTGGGATGCTCTTTCCTCTGGAACTGGGAGGGAGGGCTCTCCCTGTCCTTTGGGTCTCAGCTTGAACCAATCCACTGTAGAGGTCCTACTGGGACCTGAAGCAGACAAGACCTTCCAGTCATTCCCGACCGCATGGCCTATGTATGCTGGTGAGCTTGCTCACCTTTTAAAACCAACATCCACATCACCTGCAGTTGTTCACTCCTCTGTCATGAGGGCAAACCAGATCCGTTTTATTTACCAAATACCTTCAGCCTGAAATAGTGGCAAGCCAAGTGGGAGGTTCAAATGTACATCTGTTCAATGAGTAAGTATACAGCATAGTGAATGATGACTGTTCCATAATCCATAAGAAAAAAAAATCTGTGAACACTACCACCAATTTTCAAATGCAATCTTTCAAACATGAATTGAACATAACACTATGAAGAATTAAATGTGTTCTTTAAAGTATCGACTAATTATTAGAGTAGTTAGGGAAATTGCTTCTTACATCAAATCTCATTACCCAGCTATCTTTTTTCTTTCATAAAAGGCTGCTTTGGTTCTTTATTTTAAAAAAATTTACTATTTTTATTTTATCTGCATGAATGTATTGCCTGTATGTGTAAGTACATCCATATTGTGCAATGCCCTTAGGTCAGAAGAGGGTGTCAGATCCCCTGGAACTGTGTTAGGACGGTTGTTAGTTGCCATGTGGATGCTGGGAATTGAACCCAGTTCCTCTGTAAGAGCAGTCAGTGCTCTTAGGTGCTGAGCCAACTTTCCAGCCCCTTTGGTTTTTTTTAAAGATTTAATTTTCAATTGTGTGTGTTATGGGTATGTGAGTGCAGAAGCCCACTGAGGCCAGAGACATTGGATCTCACAGAGTTGGAGTTATAGGTGGTTGTGAGCCAGATGTAGGTGCCAGATGCTGGAAACTGAACTGGGTCCTCTGTAAGAGCAGTATGCACACTTAACCACTGAGCCATCTCTCTAGCACGTACCTAGCTATCTTATACTACCTGCATCAAAACACCCTGGAAAGCAAACTAGGTCTCTCCTTAAGAGTAGCTTAAACCTCAGAGGAAGTTTTCATCTAGTATTTCTTCACACTTTTGTATCTAAAATAGATTATGGGACTACATACCCGACCAAATGGAATGTAGAACGATTAATAAGCTGTTAAACTTTGTCCCCTGCTCTCTCCAGAACTCTAAGCACAAAACAAGTCCATGTGCCCCAAACCGCTGTGGTCCCTGCCCTGTTTGTGTATAAAGCCAACCTACTAGAGCAGGTGACTAGGCCAAGGACAGGCCATCAGCCCAAGGCAGCAGAACATGGATGGCAGGAGACCAGCTGACAAACTCATCTTCACTTGAATGGATTAAGGAATGTTTTGGGCACTGTCACCTCTGGTTACACCTGCTAGGGTGTTCCAGAAAGATGTAATTGAGGAGGCAAGAGGACCCGCTCTGAACCGGCTGAGGTCAAAGACTTGATGAAAGGGGAAAAAGCAAGCAGGTTGCCCTGGCATTCTCCTTCCTCTGCTTCCGGATCCTGGGAGATGCGGATGCCCTCCACTCCACCGCCACGCCTGCCATGCCTGCTCTGCCTTCCTCACCAGGATGGACTATCTTCTCTCAAGCCATGAGCCAAAACAAAACCTTCCACCCTTAAACTGCTTCTTGTCAGGTATAGAAAAGTAACTTATGAACTATTTTGGAAGTGGCCTGGTATAAACTATGATCCAAAAAAGAACTTCAAACTAGATAGAAGTAACGTGACCCTTTCAGACTCCTTCCTAGGAAGCATCAATGAGATGATCAGGGAGAAACCTGTGTTCTGAAACCAGTGTGGACCACGTCACATCACCTTACATCCTGCTCAAACACCTATTATGAAAAATAATGCAGGCAAGCATCATCTTTGTGTGTATGTCCATACAGCCACAGACCCTAGAATAGAAACCCTCTGATTATATATAGGAAGCAGGGGGAAAATCTGCATTTTGAGCTCAGAGTGTGGCTGGGATATAGTTCAGTGGTCGAGCACTTGCCCAGCATGTACAAGGCCCAGAGTTTGGTTCTTAGTACCATTAAAAAAAAAAAAAAAAAAAAAAAACAAACCAGCTGAAAGCACAGAAACATCTCTGCAGAATGTCAAAGGTACGACTGTTCTCAAACAATTCAAGTGGAACCACGGCAAAGAATTCACTGTTACAACTGGAAAGCAACCTCCATTTCTGTCTGGCCCTGTATAAAGAAAACCAGCAGGACAAGAACATGAACCAGACATGGCTGCATAATGTTTTTCTTTTCTTTCTTTTTTTTTTCTTGCTTATTTTTTTGATGCAAAGTCTTAATGTGTGGATCTGCTGGCCTGGAACTCAATCAGGCTGGCCTAACACTTTCTGCAATCCTCCTGCCTCTGCTTCCTGAGTGCTGAAATTATACATGTGAGCCACACTGAGCTTTTGGTGTTTTTTGTTTGTTTATTTTTTTTCTTTAAAAAGACAAGTTCTTGAGGCCTGGAACTCCTGACTTTCTTGCCTCATCTTCCTGAATGCTGAGTGAGATAACAGGCATGTATCACCATGTGTGGCTTGCAGAATGTGTATAGTGTTGCTTTGGTTAAGTCAGTAATTATGAAATGCATCGATGCCACAATTCATTTCAATTCACTAAAAATAAACATATTTTTAAGGCATACCAGGTATAGTATTAGGTGTAAGAATGACTAGATGACAGATCCTACTTCCTTAGGTGACCAAAGCAAGAGAAAAAAGATTCACTGACTCCAATATGGCAAGTTGTATCAGTGAGGATCTGAGTTCCTATCCCTAGAACCCACATAAAAAGCTAGACCCAAAGTATGTTAATAATCCCAGCACTCCTACAGTAAAATGGGAGGCAGAGACAGGAGAGTCTCCATAAGCTTGCAGGCCAGCTAGTGTGGTGTACACAGGGGAAAACAACAGAGACAGGTGGATCGCAGGGGCTTGGCCAGCCAATCTAGCCTGAAAGGCAAGCTCTAAGTTCAGTGAGAGACCTTGTCTCAACAAATAAGGTGATGAGCTGGGATGACGGCTCAGTGGCTAAAATCACTTGCCACAAAAGCCTGGTAACCTGAGTTCCTATGAGCCTAATGGCCTGAGTTTGATTTCCAGACCCAGGAGGACTCCCAAAAGTTGTCCTCTGGTCTCTACAACAGCCCCATGCACATGTACACCTGTATCCACACACATTACACACACACACACACACACACACACACACACACACACATATATATATATATCCCCATATAATAAATAAAAGGGGGAGAGCATTAAAGGAAGATACTCGAAGTCAACTTCTTGCCTCCACAAGTGCACACACAGGTGAACACATATGCATAGCACACACACACAAAGGAAAAGACACCCAGCAGTCTAATACAATATTTTTAAAACACTCTCACAACTACCTAGTGATAATTCCTTGTATTTTGGGGTTATCTAGTCCTTTTCTCCTCAATGAAAATTTTTCTGTATTTTAGTAGATTTTGGTAAACATTCTAAAGTTTAGTACAACTATTATCATAATAGAAGCACACTGTATGTTTCGCCAGACCTGAAAGGCAGAGCTAATGAAAGCAAGGCACAAAGGTTAACTGAGGACACTGCGGATGAACCACACAGACCACACGGACACGGAGGCCCACACGAGCTCCAAGCATGGACACGGCGGTGCACATCTGCAGCCCTAGCACTTGAAAGGCTGAGGCAGGAGGATCTCAAGCTCAAGGCCAGCCTGTAGCACAGTGAGCTTGATGCGGACCTAAGCTACTTTGCATGACCCTGCTTTAAGAAAAAATTAAATAAACAAGAAAAAAACTGTGAAGTTACACAGCGAGTGTGCTTAAATGCCAATCAACTACAGACTCGGGTAAAAATCAGTAATTTTCATGTGATCTATAGTTCAAAAACAGTTCAGAGAGTCAACACAAGGTCCACTTTGTATCTGGAGCACTTAAAGTCACAGCACATTAAGAGACACGCGGTAAATCTCACTGAGTAAAAGGAGAAAACCAGTCTACAGACAGAACATATGTAAGCTTTCCTAGTTCCCAACTCGGTCAACAATGGAAAGTAAGAATACTAAGAAGACAGCCCTGTTAGGAGGCATGCTAGTCCCTGTCAGGCTAGTGAGTTCAGAGATCCCTAGAATCCATAACTTATCAATCACTTATTAATGTCTACAGTGGATAGCCCTTCAGGTAGGCTAGACGGATTCATGGGTAACTCGTGGTTACAGCAGGTCCTATACCAGCTTACTTGTATTTCCCTGGCTGTTAGGGCTTTGGCCTAGACAGAAAATCTCTTTCTTGAATCTTGAACTTACCTGTTGTGGTAACACTGGAGTTCTGCAGAGGCACAGAATGGTTTGCACTTATAGATCCTACAAAATAAAAGAGAGATCCTATTATGAATGAGCACTGAGTATTTAACTTATAACACTGGCAATATGTTTTCTCTGCCTAAAAGGGCTCAGGTTTGGAGTACAGGGTGTGTGTGTGTGCGTGTGTGTGTGTGTGTGTGTGTGTGTGTGTGTGTGTGTGGCGGTGGGGTGGTTAAAACTCAGCATTTTTTTGGTAAGAGATTTATCAGAAGAGATATTAATGCCATGATGGGAAGAAAGCACGGTAGTGGGCTCTGAAGAGTTCAGGCCCTTGTGGCACAGTGGGGGAGGTCCTCTCTTACAGGTTTCCGATAAACGGGGAAGGCCCACAGTATCTGCTTACATCAGACTGTCTAGAGTCCTGGGCAGAGGAGCTTGAATCTTGCAAAAGGAATGTATGACTTTAAGGATGCAGGAAAAGTGAGGAGAGGCCCATCTAGTTAAAGTGGGTGGGGCCCATCCAGACCCCACCGCACCTCCTAACCAGAGATACTTTGGGTCTCTTAGCCTGGAGTCCGTATGCAAGAGGATGGGGAAGACACAGCTACAAATGGGCAAGGCCTGAGCAGCTAACCTAAGGATGACAGTGGCATGGGGAAGGGTAGACTCCATCACAGGAAGTTCTGCTTTTACCACTGTTGCTATGAAACATATCCCAAAGCTGTCAGTAAGTTTGAGACTGGTTTGTTAGCTCTTCTGCACAAAAAGCATTGAGCTTGTTTAACAAACACTTGCACAGTGCTCTGTACCAGCCGCTGACAGCAAGAGCTTAGTCAAGAGTACATGCACATGAAGACAGCATAGAGGTGCCGACAGCCCAAACCACTTCTGCTAGCAGTGGCTGCTCTTCTGGGTGACCTGGACCATCCCGTGAAGGCCCCTTTATATTCATGGGTGCCTCTGGGTCTTCTGTACCCTTAAGTTCATTCAATGGAGCGATGAAGTTAGTAGGATTCTCATTTCTCATTGAAAATTTTCTTGGTATTTTTAATTTTTGAACTAGTACCTTAAAATTTAAGAGAATTCTGTGACCCAAATAAGCAACTTTTCAGTGACTTATTTTCAAAAACACACAAAGGTGTTGTCTATGTTTCTGACATAACAAAGTTCACTCAACAATAAAACCAAAAGAAATCAAAGAAATCCTCAAAGCACAAAGTAAGCAATAACTCTGAAATCTTTACCAACTCTTAAAGTTACTTCTCCAGCAAATGTGTTCCTTTAGTGGGACTATAGTCTATCATAAAAGGATACAGACACCCAAGAAAGGTCAGGATCGGTAGACAGTGCAGATGTATTTAGCAGAAGGCATCAAACATCAGCCAACAACATTAAGTGCTTATGGGGAGCAGGTTTTGTTCATCAAACCCTCTTGGAAATTCTGTGGCAGAGGCAGTATTTTGTAATGATAGGGACCTGAGGTCCAGAGAAAGCCACTTAGCTGGTTGAGTAGCAGTCTGGATGTGGACTAGGCAGATTCATTCCACTAATTTACATTAATTACTGTATTTTCATTTTCCCCATGTTGCATCAACTGTTGGTCACTCCTAAACCAAGAAGTCATCCTATGATCCCTCCCTCTTTCATGCTCCAAGGTTGGATCCATAGCAAGTCATCAGTCCCACTACCCAAAACAGTCATCTCCATGAGAATGACCATCTTTGGCCTGGACAGCTACACAAGCCTTCCTGTTATTCTCTCTCCTGAGAATGGATTTCTCAACAAAATAAATATTTGAGTACAGCTATTTTCATGCCCCTTCAACCCCTGGGCTGTTTAGCTGTAAGAGTAAAAATTTGTTCTTTTCCCCAAGGTTGTTAAACATGGGTTTCTGTCATTTGCCACTAAGACAGTAACAGCCTCTCATCCCATTCTGCTAATACCTTTCATTGATTTACCACAATCAAGCCTGTTTGTTCACTAGTTAACTTGTTCCAACCAATGGAGGCTGTTTACAAAACTATGTAGCAGAAAGTAAAGGGATGGCTCAGCAGTTACAAACACTGGCTGTCCTTGCAAAGGACCTGGGTTTGGTCCCCAACACCCACATGGCAGCTAACACTGATCCTTAACTCCAGTTCCAGGGGATCTGACGCCCTCTTCTGGCCTGATGGACACTGCATGCATATGTGCACTTACATGTAGGCAAAACGCTCATACACACAAAATAAAAATAAATAAAAACTATGTAATAATATTTTAAAACTAACTTTATCATTTGCCGCAATAGTCTAGACAGTGCTGTGGTTAAAAGCATGGTCTACTTTGAGAACTACTATCAACTAATGTAGCTTAGCAGTGAGATGGTTGCAAGTTTGGATTTGGATCTGAAAACAAGCATGTGTTAGTTGTTTCACTTTAAGTTAGCTCACGTCTAAGTCTTAGCTTCCTCAGCTACAGTAGGAGTGGCATGTGAGGACCCAAGGGGTGATTTATGGACCTCAATTTAGCATAGTGTGTGGGGGGTGTACCTAACAAGCATTAGCACAATTCAGTATGATTGTTAAAATCACCATGTTTTGTAATGACACTTCACACTACACACGGTAGAAGGACTAGAACACTTAACTTGCTTTTTCCATTTGGTTTCTATTTCTTTTTAGAGACAAGGTCTCCCTGTATAGCCCAGGCTGGCCTTGGGCTCACAATCCTCCTGCCCCTTCACGCTTTAATGCTGAAATAACAGGTGTATACCATCCAGCCTGGCTTAGTGATTTGCCTTTTTTTAAACAAAAATCTTCTGTAGAACCTTCTTTTAGTACAGTTTGAAGGAGACATTATAGTCTAAAGAACTGAACCACTGGCTACACTAGTTTATGAAACCAGGGCTGTTCTATAGCAGGGCATTCCAAGTTTTCCAAACAGCACTAGCCTCTAAGTTAGATATTCAGAAACAGATCACAGAGAAAAACTAGAACAAAAAAACCTGTGTAACAAGGGCAGCAGCTAGAAAGGACCCTCCTTATTTCTCCAATCTGTAATTTGTTCAAGAAAATAAGATTTATTTGTACACAAAACATGAATTGGAAAAAATGATGGCCTTCTCCCATACACAGTATGATATTTTCTAGAAGACAGAGCATAACAATACTCTACTGGTCATTCTTAAACTATCTAAATTAGGTCTGTAGCTCCAGTTTGTCAAGGTACAAGAAGTCAAATGAACAAAGAAAAAGTTTCAGTAAGCTGGGTGCCAAAACCCTGTAATCCTAGCCTTTCGGAGGTGGAGGCAGGAGGCTGAGTTCAAGGTCGACTTCAGCTACAGAAGTTCAAAGCCAGCATGGACTAGTGGGTGACCTGAGACTGTCAGAACAGAACAGAACAAAAAGGAATGAAATTCAGCAGAACAAACAAAAAAGTTTAATTCACGCGGATTATTCCAGCAAAAGCAGGTGTTGGGTCTGAACCATCTGGGTATGTAAACAGGCTGGTTATCTCTTGCTAAATAAAACTAATCTAAAACTAAATACACAGCAGACAGAAGCGAAAAACACCAAAAACCTTCCAGTCACTTAAAACAAATTATCCTCGCTAACTCACTCTATTAATACCCTAGTGATTGGACTCCTATAATAGGTAACAAAGGAAAACCAAAATTTCACAGCAAATTAAGTTTCCTGGCCTCATCCAAAAAGTTCCTCAAAGTCTTCAAAAGGGTCAAAGCCTCCAAGGGGAACAAAATCCCCTCCAAGGAAGCAGCATCATCTTGTTATGACCTTAGTGATGACGTCGTAGGCTAGGGAGGACGGATCTGCAGGCGGTGCCGGGGGCGCGCTGCACACCCGGGCGACCACCGCCCCCATCCTAAACCTCACCAGCACCAGGAGCAGGGCTCGCACACCGAGAGCGTCCAGCTTGCAGCACCCGCCCTGGAGTCTAAGGGGGACCTTCAGCTGACAGCAGTTGGGGTGCTAGAAAGTTCCTGGTCCACCTGTTCCTGAAGCCACCAAACCTCGCAGTCCCGGATAAACTAACCCACGCGAACTCTAGAAACTCGGAGGACCAGGCAGAGGCTCCGCCGAGCCCAGCTCAGCCCGGGCAGCTCAACAGGTCCCGGCCGGCCAGCGGCTGCCGCCTCCACGCGGCGAGGAGCCGGAGCCCGCCCAGCCTGTTTCCCCGACCCCGCGGGGTCCACCGGAGACACGTGGAGCTTCCCCCGCGGCGAGCCAGGCCAGCGACTGGCGCTTCCTCCCCAGGCGGACTCACCCTGCGCGGTCGCGGCTCCCGGCAGCGCCAGCACCTGCAGCGCGCATAGCAGCAGCGCGGCCCACGCGCCGAGCCCCATTGTTCGAAAGGACGGCCGGCCTCAGGGTCGCCGAACGCGCCGGCAGAGACCGTCCGGAGCCCGGAGCGACACCTCTTGCACACAGCCTCCGCGTCCTCTTCCGCCGGGCACCGCTCGCCACGGCCGCGGGTCGCCCGGATGACCAAATTGTGCGCGGGCCGGGCCGGGAGGGGCGGGGCCTGCAGAGATCGGGGCCTGGGCTAGAGGGCGGGGCCAGGAGTGAGAAGAGGCGGGGGAAAACCACAGGCTTAGAAAGGGCGTGACCCTGCCGAGAGGAGGCGGGGCAGGGGTGGGAGGGGCGGGGCCTTGCTGAGAGGCGAAGCCGGGAAGAAGGGTAGAACCGGGAGTGGGCGTGGCCTGCGACCAAAGGCCGGGCCGGAAAGGGCGTGGTCATCGATGCCGGGGCGGAGCCTGGAGGGGGCGGGGCGGGGCCATTGGCAGGGCAGCAGGGCGGGGCGGCGCTCGGACTCAGGGGGAGGGGAGACTTCTCCCCGGCTCTGCCCCCCCCCCGCCGGGCCTCAAACTCCTCC